TGCACCATCCTGGGGAACCATGACTGGTTCTGCCAGAGTGGGGCCACTAGAAGGACCAAGCTTTTGTCCTCTCTGATTCATCTAATGACCTGAGGGAGTAGAGCCACAGGCATACAGGTGCAGGCTGGGCCTAGCATGTCTACTTCCTGGTTCAGCCTGCCCAGCACGTGCACAGCTCTCACTGAACGGAGCTAGGTTTTGCTGTGCCCATAGAAGAAAGCGTCTCACCAGTCTGTACAAAATTTAAACTAGAGTCCCTCTTGCCAGTACTGAAGGGGGTGCATATGTAGCAGGCCTAGTGGTATACCCCTGATAGCAACAGACTCCGGGGCGGATCTGCGCTCAAGCTGACAGCTCCGATGTACTGTCACACTCATTACGGCCATGTGCACAATATCTGCCCCGCTTCCTGACAGCGCACTGTCAACTAGCGGACTCACTACTGACATTGGGCAGATTTGCACATCTTTTTTGAACCGTCGCCGAATCTCACAGAGCAGAGAAGCGGCAGGTCTGTGAGGACAGAACATGGTAAGCACTGTCAAAATATGCTTTATTTGTACATTTACATGCACCAGTAATTTAATCGTTAACAGATAATGTAGTTTTTTTTTTAAAGTGAGTGAAGTGACATGTGGCGACCCATACTCAAAATTTGTGCTCTGCATTTAACCCATCCAAGGGCACACACACAGTAGTGAACACACACCCGGAGTTGGGCGCCATTGGGCCCAGGGAGCAGTTGGGGGTTCGGTGCCTTGCTTAAGGGTCTCACCTCAGTCATGGTATTGAGGGTGGAAGAGAGCACTGGTTATTCATTCCCCCCACCGACAATCCCTGCCAGACCCGAGACTCGAACTCACGACCTTTGGGTTACAAGTCCAATTCTCTATCCATTATGCCACAACTGCTTTATTTTGCTAAAGCACATGATCATTATTGTAGATCTGAGTAAAAGTTATCAAATTTATTTGGACAGGATTTATTTATTTCTGGGAGGTCTGGCGATTTAATTACCTTAAAGGGATAGTTCACCCAAAAATTGACAATGACAAAAATTCTGTCATTAATTACTCACCCTTATGTCGTTCTAAACCTGTAAGACCTTCGTTTATCTTCAGAAAACAAATTAAGATATTTTTGATGAATTCTGAGACCTCTCTGACCCTCCCATAGACAGCAAGGATCTTTACACGATCAAGCTCCAGAAACATAGTAAAGACATCGTTAAAATAATCCATGTGACATCAGTGGTTCAACCATAATTTTATGAAGCTACGAGAATACTTTTTGTACGCAAAAGAAAAAAAAACGACTTTATTCAACAATTCGTCTCCGTGTCACCGTAGCACCATTTTGGAGAGTATCCACTGAATGCAAACAGTGTATGTTGTTCTGTGTCAGCCGCATCACACGGATATGTTGTTTTAAGTTCAAATCAAAGCACAAACAACGTAGAAAACGTATCCGCGTGGCGCAGCTGACACAGAATTGCATACGCTGTTTGCGTATCTTCAGATTAGAGAAAAGTGATGAAAACACATCAGAGACACAATAAAAATAACAGAAGCAAGAAAAGAATGATTAAGAAAGCATCTGATCAAATATAGATGTGGATATTTTTATCCTGCAATCCTGCAGCCTGGTCTCATTGTTTATATGTAGGTATTAGTACATAATGTTTACAAGCACAAAACACTAACCCTTGAACTAACCCTTTAAGTGTAGTCTTGTTTAACATTATTTATTTTTCTAAACGAGTTGGTGGCAGAAATCACACAGAACAGAATGAAATGTTATATGAAAGCATAATGCCATTGATATGGCAACTGAATACAATAATGATTAAATTAATTTCAATATTCATAAGGATTCATAAGGAGATTTCAATATTTATAAGGATTCATTTGTAAGTCATAAGTAAATAATTGTAAGTAAATAATGTACGTTTTAGGTGTCGTCAATACGTCAGTATTGTACGTTTAAATGCTGTAAATACATCAGTGGTGTACATTTATTGTAGATGCTGTAAAAACGTTAGTATTGTACGTTTTAGTGTCTGTAAAAACGTAAATAAATGAACATTTTGTAGAACCACATTTTACGTAAAATACATACGAATTTATCACGAGATATTTGTGTCTGATCTTCATAAAATGAGTGAAGAAATTAACCTGAAAAGATTTCCACATAAAAGAACCAGGAGGCCCAAAGCACACTCACCTATTAAGTAATCATCATGGACTAATGGCTGTTCACAAGTGTTTAACGGCCAGTGTGAAGTTTTTTTCAGAAATTTTTCAAACCACTGAAACAAACTCCAAAATACTTTTTTGGTTTTATTTTATTTGAAATTATGTCACACATGTTCCTTTTTCAATTTTGCTTCGCTGTTTCTTTTGTTGCAAAATCTAAAGGTGGCATTCTAGTCATCAAAATAAATGAAAAGATTCCAATCACATGACTTTGACTAAAGTTCACCATTAAAAAAAAACAAAAAACTGCTGAGCTTTGACTTTCAGAATAGGGTTTGTATTGTTTCTCTCTTCTTAGTTGATCTTTGTTGACAGATTTATAGTGTTTTTTCACCTTAAGTTTTGTTGCTTTTTTCACAAACACATAGTACATTTTTAAAACAAAACTGTTAACTTTTCACACATTTGTAACACTGGTAGTCATTCATTTAATGGGGTCTTTGTATCATTAAAATATCCTACAAGTTTAATCAGTACCATTGGCATTGCTATGAATTCTGGGTCCTGTGCAGTGAATTTGGAGG